ATGCCTGTATGCATGCATGCATGTATGTATGTATGTATGTATGTATGTATGTATGAATGCAACGAAGGCGGTGCAAATCGTGACCCGCAACACCCTATAGAAGCCAAATAGATTAAACTTACTAGACCCTAAACCCTAAACTTACCAGACCCTAAACCCTAAAACCTAAACTTACTAGACCCTAAGCCCTAAAACCCTAAACCCTGGACTTACTAGACCCTAAACCCTAAACCCTAAACTTACTAGACCCTAAACCCTAAACCCGAAACTTACTAGACCCTAAACCCTAAACCCTAAACCCTAAACTTACTAGACCCTAAGCCCTAAACCCCTAAACTTACTAGACCCTAAGCCCTAAACCCCTAAACTTACTAGACCCTAAGCCCTAAACCCCTAAACTTACTAGACCCTAAACCCTAAACCCTAAACCCTAAACTTACTAGACCCTAAACCTCTGAGCCTCCCCACGAACTCGGAGAGCTTTTTCACCAGAGAAGCCCGAAGATCTAAAGGGCCGCCGTTCCTTGGAGGCTCGGATTCTTTTCGGGTTTAGGGTTTAGGGTTTAGGGTTTAGGGTTTAGGGTTTAGGGTTTAGGGCTAGTAAGTGGACGTGCTGAGGAGTTTAGAGGTTTAGGGTTTAGGGTTTATAAGGGCTTATGGTTTAGGAGTTTGTAGGGGCTTTGGGATTTGCAGGGTCTGTATTCATTAAGGAGGGTTTCACAAGAGTTCCACAAGTTGTCTATCCGGGTTTACAAAGTTTTACAAGCATGTAGTTGTGAGAAGCTGAGTGGTTTTCGGCTTAGGACCCATGCATTACGCCGATAGTGCCTAAGCCTTCAGGGCAATCGGGGTTTATGGGTGTGAGGCCTTATAATAGTTAGTGGTTTAGGGTTTAGCGCGTTAGGGCGGGCTTGGTTCGACTCCTGCTCCTGGTTCTCCGCTGCCTGCTGCCGAAGGTTTGCTTGGTGTAGTTCTTGCAATGGCGGCTCCGGGCCAAGTCTGGGCTCTGCCGGGGAAGATGTCGCCCGCCCCCCTGTCTTCCTTTGCCTCCTCGCACTTCTTGCCAACAGTAATTACAGGCAATAGTGCTTGAGGTCCGAGGACTGGTGGTAGGCGTCCATCATGGCCAAGGGGAAGGCTGTGGTGCCCGCCCTGCCACAGCCCTGGCACTGGCAGCGGTACGGAGCCACCCGCATCAATTGCTTGGAAGAAGGCGTGCTGCGGCCTGCCGCTTGGCAGTGGCCGCGCCAGCATCCCATGCAGTCGTAGCGGCCGTCCCCCCCGCCAGCCACACAGGGGTCGATACGATACACTGCGATGGGCACCGGCGGGGGGTCAGCTGGGTGCGTGAAAAGCGAGGCCTTATTATTATTGTGGCATGGCCCCAAGCGCGGCCGCTGCGGGCTCTGCCCCGTCCCCCAGATCTTCTTCCCTGCCCGGTTCCGGGGTGGGCTCCTCCCCGTCGGCCTCCGCCTCTCGGCCCTCCTTGATTAGAATCAGCTGTGGTGGTATCTTATATGCCATAGTTATAACAAGGAACCTTCAAAATTGCATTGGTAGTTATTCAGGCTTATTAGGGGGGTGAGGGGGTTTTGGGTGCTGGCGCGGAGCTCCACACTCCGTCCCAGCCCTGCCATCGAGATTCTTAGAATCCTGTGGTGATCCAAAACGGGTTTAGGGCTACCTCGGGTTACCAGAATGCCGTAGGACCTCACATGCTCCACCCAGAACTCTGATCAACCTTACCCCTAAATCCTAAACCCCAAAACCCTGCGCCCCTGAACCCCTCAACACCCCCCTGCCGAAGCCCCACCAATGAACCCATCACATCCCCCAAATCCTGGAAACCAAGACATGCTTGGAACATGAAGGCCTCAATGGGTTTAGGGTTTAGGGTTTAGGGTTTAGGGTTTAGGGTTTAGGTGTTTAGTGATTAGAGCACAGGCTCCCACAAGCTTATGGTGTTTGATATAGAGGCCTCGATGATTGGAACAATGGCTTTCGCGGGCTTTTGGTCTTTTAACGGATTTTGATATAGAAGCCTTAGTAAAGATGTTCAAAGGTTCGGCTATCAAGACACGGGGAGCGAAAGGAGTAGTATTGCTTCAACAGCTCTACGCAGACTAGACATCAACCCTAGCGCTTACGCCGTTTACAGACTGCCTAAACCCTAAACCCTAAACGCTAAACCCTGTAGCCGCAACGCTCTGAAATCCCCTGCCGAAGACCGAACCGTTTAGACCGAATAGGGTTCGGGGGGGCTTCCTTTAAGAGGGTTACTATAAAGGGTACTATAAGGTTTTAGGGTTTAGGGTGCCTTGATAATTAGAATAGGGTTTTGAGATGTTTTGGGGGTTCCCTAGTATAATTCTAGTATAAAATACCCAAAACCCTACTCGAATGATTCAGGCCCCTAAAATACAGCATAGCCTGACTGCACCCAGTAGCTCTTTCAGCGTGCCGGCATAGAAGTCGTGGTAAACTCGTCCTTGCAAGTCCAGGTTGAAGGATCTACTGGCCAGGGCTTTAGGGTTTAGGGTTTAGGGTTTAGGGTTTAGGGTTTAGGGTTTAGGGTTTAGGGTTTAGGGTTTAGGGTTTAGGGTTTAGGGTTTAGGGTTTAGGGTTTAGGGTTCGGGTTTGGGGTTGTAGGGTTTAGAGTCGAGGGTCTAATGGAGGAGCCTGATTAAGAAACCCTGGCTCTTAAAATGAACTCTAATATGTTGGGGTATATAGGGCCAAGGTTTCTTAATCAGGTTCCTACATTAGGGGTCAGGGATGGTAAGATTTGGGTATCAAGCCTTGGGTTTTCCTCACTTTGGGTGCTGGGCTTGTGACCGAGGTCGAAGATCCGCTCGAGATGGTCCAAGAGCACCTGAGATGGGGGCTTAGGGTTTAGCGCTGAGGGTTTAGGGTTTGGGGCTTTATGGTCTAGGAATGGACGTTCAAAACCATTATTGCTAGTTGTCAACTGCAGTTTGTTACAAGCGGATCTGAAACTTGGTTTTTTCTTGCGAAAAATTTAGGGATTAGGGTTTAGGATTTAGGGTGATACTTTGTGCGACCGGCAGGGTCTCTTGGTGCTCTTTTGGTGAAACAGAGCAGCTAGGGCGGAGTGTGGGGTGGGGTTCTGGGGGCTTTCAAAACGCACAGCAAGCAGGTAGGGTTCAGGGTTTCGGGTCAAGGGTTTAGGTTCACGCTTACGTGCTGGTTGTGCTTGCTCCTCAGAGATTCAGATTTTAGGGCCCAGGGATAGATAATAACCCTAAACCCTAAACCACAAATAGCCCTAAACCCTAAACCCTAAACCATAAACAGCCCTAAACCCCAAACCGTGGATCCATTGCCCCAAAACCCCTGAGATCCATGAACCTTGAGCCAGGAGGCATTGCGCAAGCTTCCGACTTCAAAGGGAAAGAGGCGCGTCTGAAAAACCTCCCGGCGAAGCCACTCCAGCCAAAGGAGTTGGTGGTTTGGTTTCCGAGTTTAGGATTGGGGATTTCGCGGCTGTCACTCAGCTCAAAGGCCTTTAACGATTTACTGTTTATAAGGTCCGAGGTTTAGGTTTAAGGGTTTCTTTTGAATGTTTTTGTCCGCCTGCCTCGTGTCAAGCTGTAGGGGCCCTGGGTTCGGAATTCTCATGCCTGGCACAACAAACCTGAACCACAGCCACAGCTTGGGAAAGGCCTGAGGGGTCAGCGAAGCCTAGAACTCACCCCGCAGCCCAGGGCGCGGGAACAGCGGCAGTAGTTAATAGTAGTGATAGTAGTAGTGATAGTAGTAGTGATAGTAGTAGTGATAGCAGTAGTAGTAGTAGTAGTAGTAGTAGCAGCAGTAGTAGTAGTAGTAGCAGGACGACTACTACTACTACTACTACTACTACTACTGCGACTACCACCACTACGACTACTTACCAGCACAAGAAGTAATACTACTAGTTACGAGAAGTTGGGCAAGTGCGAGTAGAGCCCTCCGTAAGCCCTAAACCCTAAACCCGAAGCCCTCTGCCTGCCTTGGCCAAGTTAGGGGAAAGTGCCTCTCGCTGGCAGCGCCTCTCCGGGGCTTCATGGTTCGGAAGTGCTCTGCATGGCTCCGCGAGTTTCAAGGTTTAGGCGGTAATTTAAGCTTAAATGGTCTTGCAAAGCTGTATAGGGCCTGGGCATGTCTTCTTCTTGACCCCCCATGTCCCTGTTTTGACCCCCGATCGTTTTATTGACCCCTGAACATCTGCATTCTGACCCGTAACCACTTCCTTCTGACCCCCGCATCTTTGGTTTGATCCCCACTGTCTTGATTTCGGCCCTCGTGCAGCCGCACGGGTTGGCTTCATTAAAAGAAAGCCTTCGGACGTGCTCGCATGATTCGCACAGGCTTTATCGGACGAGTTCGCATATTCGCACAGGTTCGCATGCTGGGATGTCCCTATAAAATTCTTCCAGGCATTCGCATGGGTTCGCTCGCTTCATTCGCACAGGCTCGCATGCAGGGATGTCCATGGACGGGTGATGGCACACTATTCTTGGGGTAGAAAGGCTTCGAAAGGGCATTTTTAATGCTGGAATAAGGAATGTCCGGGTTGGGGGGCGCGCAGCCTCTTTTTACAGGCAATCGAACGGGTTCGCATGGTTCGCACAGCTTCGCATGGTGGGATGTCCATGGATGGTGATGCACACTATTTGGAGTGGGTTGACGCGGCTTCGCAGTTCCGGGTGGCGCAGGCCCCCCGTCCCCATGTGCAGGCACAGCGCTCGAACACGGATTGTGGGGTTTCACTTGAGCCTCTTGGCCTGATC